TTTGGTTCACCATCGTCTACGAGCCTGCCCCTGCTGCGATTGCGACGGCTGAGGTCGACTCCGAGGCCTCGGACTCCCCGGAGTGGCTCATGATCGGCGGCGAGGGCGCTGCGAGGAAGGCAGTGCCGAAAGCTGTGTGTGTCGGTGTAGAGCAGCTGGCGGAGAGCTCCCTGGTCCAGCAGTTGTTGGCACGCTCCTGGAAGTGTATCATTTTTGCCGAGACTTTGGTTGCCGAAGACCCCACGTTGACCGGACCGACATTGGCTGCACTGTTGAGACTTGCACAGGGCCTTGCCAGTCAGAGAGTTCCGGCAAAGTTGATCTTGCTATCCGCTGGTGCACAGTCTGCCTCGGGAGCCATTGGTCGAGGACTGCTGGGTGCGGCTTCTTGGGGGTTTCTCCGCTCACTCCGACTCGAAGTGCCCAGCCTGCAACTGAGACTGGTGGACATCTCAGCAGACGCAGAAGTTTCAGATCTGGTGTCAGAGCTGGCAGCAACTTCCGACTGGACGTCAGAGGAGGCCTCTGCAATCTCGGAGATCGTCTACAGGCAAGGCGAGGGGCGATGTACACCAAGACTTGAGCTCGCGAGAGTTCCAGCGACTGGAAGTCAGCTCAAGAGTGTCGGCGTCGGCGTGGGTTGCCATCTGATTACAGGTGGCCTTGGAGGCCTCGGCCTCTTGGTGGCCATGGAGTTGGCGGACATGGGAGTCGCTAGGCTCTCCTTGGTCTCGCGCCGTGGATCTGTGGCAGACGACAAGCTGCAGAAGATGCTTAACAGACTGCAAGCATCGGCTTCAACGGTAGTAGATGCGGTGTCGTGCGACGTGGCTGACTATGGCAAGACCAGTGAGATGATCGACAGGATTCGGCAGGTTTCTGAGCTGACTGGTATCGTGCATGCAGCTGGCATCCTCGACTTTTGCGGGCTCAGTTCACTGGATGCAGGCCGTTTAAAGCCCTCGTTCAAGGCGAAGGTCGATGGAGCTTGGAACCTCCACAGGAAGGCGCAGGACAGCTCCTTCGTGCTCTTCTCCTCAGTCTCTGCTTTGGTCGGCCTGTCGGGGCCTCGAGATTTCGCACTTACCGACAGGAGCGCAAGCACAGTACAAGTCGAGGGGGCTGTGCGTGAGGCATGCGAGGAGCTTTGAAGCCCCAGCAATATATGTATTTGCACATACTGATTGTCGTTGCATGCTTGAGCTTCTGATGTGAGAGATCTTGTTGAGCAACACGCGGATTCAGCAATGCTTTCAGTGACAGCCTTTCAGCGGGAGCTGGCGGAGCGGGGAGATGGCCCCCCTGGAAGCGCCTGCGAGCATAAAGTATGCGACCACGAGCCGCTGCCACATCCCTCGGTGCAAAGATCCTGACCCCCTGCAAATTTGTTTGGGATGCTACTAGGAACCAGACACCAACCCGGCCAAAGAAAAGGGCTCCCTAGTGGCGCTAGCGTGCTTCGCATAGGAAAGCCCGGGATGCAGATGCGAAGGAAAGGACTACACTCCAGTTTGGCTGAGCAAATGCGCACAGTAGGCGAAAGACCTTCGATCTTTAAATCTTCCAGCAGCTTGCTGCTTGCATTTGATTGCGGGGGTGGGGATGGGCGGGGGATGCCGAGGTCCTCCGGCATCGCGTACAGCACGGCGAACGCCTACCTGGACGGCCTCAGCTTGTGGCGGCGCTCTGAAGGCTTGGCCACCATGAGCCTGCAGCAGCCCGCCTCATTTGAGAACAACTTCACTCTGCATATGTCATTTTCGATCATATATGTCAGGGGTTGTGGTAGACCTTATGGATTTTAAACTGGGGTTGGTGCTTCGTGGCTTTGGGTTGTTGTGATACTATTCTACACGGCCGCATCCAAACCCCAAACTCAAGCGCAGCATTGAGCGGCTTTCTGGTTGAATGAGCTAGCAGCTAGACACCACATAGCTTGAAAAGATTCATACCCGATGCGAGACGAGGGAGGGACTCCATACCATCCTGATACCAGCCGTGTCCGCTGCCGAGGTGGGGTCCGGTGGCGGATGTCGGAATGGCGGCCCAAAGCGCAACTGCAGCAACTGCGACTCGTTGTCAAGCTTAGATGAACTTTGCAAGCTCTGCTTTGGCTGCTGTTGTGCTGAACTAGGGTCGATTCTGCATGCCTTCGAGAGTTCTTGCTTGGACGGGTTCCTACTTTCCGCAAGCATACCGAGGAGATAGCTCTCAGACATATTTCTCCAGATCATGTCCGCAGCGCCTTCCGTCGAGTATTTGGGCAGCCTTGGTCGCTGCCACCTTGCCTGTTGTTCGCCAGCCACCAGGCTCAGATCAGAGCATGGGGCTGTAGAGCCACCGGACACGGCACGTGCCTGTTGGCGAGTGCCTGAGCTGAGGAGTGGACTGGGCGCAGTTCATGCAGCAGCTGGGTACTGTCGTCCCTATCCTGACCAAACATGTTTCAAGCGTGGCTGAAAAGGCCACGTGCTGCATGGGAAGGTAGGAATCTGTAGCAAGGATGGGAATGTGCTGCAGGCAAAACGCTCGCCGGACTTGCCAACGTTGGGCGGCTTGTCGCCTGAGGCCGCGCGCAGCTGCTCGGAAGCAGGGAGTCAGCGCTGGATGTGCCTGTGCATGGGCAAGCTTCGACTGATGAATGCGCACGCATGTTGAAGCAAAGGCAAACTGACAGCAATGGTTTTGGATGTGGCGCAGGGCGTCCCTGGGATTTCTTGGAATCCTTGCTCGATATATTTTCCGCACACTCCCCATGCTCGCATCTCTCTCTCTCTCTCCCTCTCTCTCGCTCTCGCTCTCGCTCTCTCTCCCTCTCTGTCTCTCTCTCTCTCTCTTGTAGCACACTGTTCCAGAAACAGCCTTTTGTGACATCGCAGCCGAACTCGAAACTTTTGTCAGTTGTGGGTGTCGATGAGATCTCTAGTCTAGAGAGTCTACTGCGAGTTGACCACTCCCTGCTTTCAGCACAGACTTTGGAGCGAGTTCGACTGAACGAAAGCAGATGGATGTGGAGACCAAGGTATGTTTGGTACATTGTGAGCCTGTCCATTACGAAAGGAAGCAATGCACTCGTCTATGGTGCTTTGGTCGTCGCACTTTGGCCTGAAAACCGAAGGACGCTTGATTGTCACACTGAGGTTACATGGCTCTGACATATGTGCAGCTTTGGAGTGTGAGTGTGCACTGCGTTTCAAGCATTTCACAGGACTCATTTCAAGCTGATCTCTGCCTCCCCAGAAGAGTTGCTCGAGAATTGTCCATCACCAGGAGGCAGCGCAAAAGGACACGAGGCAGCAAAACCAAGTCACAATGAGAACATCTGTCAATTTTTCGCATGCGCACACCGACTGCTTGATGCAGCATGGGAGGTTTCCGATTTCCTACCTGGTGCCAAGCTATGGCTGAATGCCAGAGATCTTCCGAATCTCCTTTGTCAGAAGTTCGTGTCAGATGCTTCTTGGCCGATGTTCAGCTGATGTCTATGCTGCTCTTTCCGTGGGCCAAAGTGCCTGTACTCATTGTCTGAGACCACAGCTCTGTGCGCCTTGAAGAGTTGTAGGTGACGGTTCGGGAGTCTGGGGCGACGCTAATGCTTTGGTGCGCCACTTATATAGCGGTATACTGATAAGAGAGAGGCCTTTGTGCTTTATATTGTTCTACATTTGTTCCGGTAGGTTTAAAACTAACAGATTCAAGAAGTGAAACAAGCTAGACAATTGGAGTAAAAGAAGTTAAACAAGCTAGATGCTTGGAGTAATCGAGAAAGGGGAGCATATGGTTGCGATTAAACATAAAACCATACGCAGCGGCTGGTTTGGATGGAATCAAAACAAAGTCCGGCCCTCCTAGTATGCAAGCAGGCATGGGTTTCGACAAGCGGAGGACCGAATCGAAAGGTCGAACATCTTCTAGTCTAACCATTTTTTTTACTTTTTCTGCTTTTCCTGTTTGCCTGCGCTTTTCGCACTTTTCCATACTTTTCGGGCTTTGAGACTTTTCGCGCTTGTCTGCCTTTTTTTCGCACTTTCCGGTGCATGTTGGTGTTTTCGGCTTCACTCTTTTTCTGTTGGCATTTCGTACTTTTCTGTACTTCTCGGGTTTCAGGTTTTCAGGCTTTTCGACTTTTAGCTTTTTTTTTCCCTGAGCTTCTTCGAGCTTCTCGGTACAATCGCTTGGGCTCCCTTCCGAAAGCACTCGGTGACCCGCTAGGGCATAATTTTTCCGAGTGTTTACTCGACATGGCAGCGTGCACCTTGTGGCGACGCACCAACACACGCATCCCATTCGTTCAACCTTCTTTACAGCATGCCGGCTGCCGGCACCGCGAGTTTGAGTAATTGATGCGCATTGGCATTTGTAGGGGGAGTCACTACAAACCACTTCATATGTTTTCGTGTGACAGTCACCTGCCGCATTCCCTGGTCCTGCGAGCTCAGGACACCTTTTACCTTTCCAAATCGCAATCACACATGAGTTGATGGCCGACGGGATGAGTAGTTCTAAGCCGGGACACAATGTACAGACCTCCCAATAAGGCAGCCACAAGTGCACGCCATCTGCTGAAATTAGCTAAACCAAATACCTGTCAGACCGACATCGGGGAAGTTTACTGCAAGGTCAGGACATCGGGGCATCGAGGTATTGAGTGATCCGTAGTTAAAAAGACGAGGGCAGGTGTAGTGCTTGATGAATCAACATTAGGTAGTTTCTGTGTGCTTTTTTTCTTTCGGGTGAAGCAAGTTTTGACCGGTGAGGCTTAATCAGGCAGCACTGCTGCGATGTCTGGCTCGTATTGCGCATCAGATCGGTTTCCTGAGCTCCGGTTTGCATGAAGCTCTTGAGCAAAGCACTTGCTCGAAGCAATGTTGCGAAGCAGAGCGACCGAACACTACTGAAAGTAGAACTGCAAATGCAAAAACAATAGGGGTTTGCATTCTTGCGATTCACCGGTGTATCAGTCAATTCAGCCAAAGCCCCATGATATATTCTGGGCCCAGGCCAAGATTAATGGAGGGACTGAGGATGCCGAACACCCAGATGTCAGCAGAACTGCGTGGGTATTAGAGGGACAGTCTTTGAGGCCACCCCTGGCAACGCAGGCCTGCAAGGGATCATTGCTCAATTCACGTCGGCGTTGAAGTCTGTCAGGGGCTGCTCTACAGCCTTCGCCATCCCTCAAAACCAAGGCATTTGGAATCCTGCATGCAGGTCAACACTGTTCTTGCTCACAATCTGCAAGTACCCTGAGGCGATGCCGAAAAGATCTGAAAAAGAGATACAGGCCTGAGCTCAGAAACAGCAAATAGCTTTGGTGCTCTGAAGCCACGCATACGGTCTCTTGCAGGAGCAAGCTCGCCAGATGGCCAAGGACACCTTAAGAAGCCTTCCTGAAGAGGTGCCGCCAGCGCCAGCTAGGCTCCAGCTGCCCACTTGCGCTTGCTCCGTAGCTGGTCAGGTGCAGGAGAAGCAGTTGCCAGCGCTAATCGAGAAATTGGTGAACAAACTCAGGAAAGCCGAGCAGGTGCACATGCAGTTTGCTGTTGTGTAATCGCCAGGGTAGCCTGGGTGCAGCTCACCGTCTCTCACTGCTTGAGGAAAAGATGGAGGAAGTTGTGGCAGTTCCGGCACCGCCACCCGTGGCTGAGGTGATGCTTGGCAGACTTGGCCCTACCCACTTAGTGGCTTAAACAGCAACGACGACTTGATTTCTTTGGCGGGTGGGAGCTGGTAGTTCATGTGCACAGCCTGCTTACACACGAGCTGCCGCGCGCAGAGTTTGGTAGACTGTCAGTGGAGGCTTCTGATGCTTCGAAGGCATAAGATTTGAACTCCTGTCCAGCGCCACGCATCCGAGGAAAGAGCCGGAACCTCCTCCACCGACCCCTGCCATGAAGGCACAGGGGCACAGGGTGTGTGCCCTCGCCGTAGTGATGGCATCAGCCGCAACTAGTGAACAGTGGCGGCAGAGACTAGCACGAAGCTTTTTGCATCATGTGCCTGTCTCGCTTTGGAAAGTGAGCATTCGCACGGCTTTGGAAGTGATTGCAGGATTCTTTCACTCATTTCTGCCGTCCCTGTAGGATCCAGTTGAGTTCTGAGCTTCCATTTGTCGCTTTTGGCTTCCGGCCTCCCTGACTATGTGCCAGGGCCATCTTCGGCTCGAGTCGATATGGATTTGAGCTGTGGTTTCTGCTTTGAGAGTGGGCAACCCCGAAGCCTCTGCAGAGCTGGTCATGTCTGTCCTTTGCAACTGCTTTGCTGCGCGAAATTGCCACCGCAGTCGCTGGGTGGCCTCCTCGCCGGGCTACCGTCCGCCCTACTCGTGTCGCTCCCCTCTCCCCTCTGTTTAGATGCTTGAACACGCTGCAGTGCTTTCACGAAGCCTCTAGGGCTCTAGGTTGTCGTCACTTCCGTCGCGATTCTGACTTCTGCTCTGATTTGTTCATGCAAGCAGCTTCTGAATTCACTTCACCCTGGTCCAGCATGAACTAAGACCAGTGTGGTTTATCAATCGCAGGCTATTCCATTGGTTCCCGGAGTTTTGGGACAAGGCTTGGTGCCGGCCAAAGTATCTTATCTGCAAAGGACGACGCGTGGATATGGCTTTGCACACTTCCACGTACCACGTTGAAAAGAACGCATCATTTTTCTACCACCTGAAGCGCAACATACGCAAGCCGTAGACTGGCCGGACGTTCCCCCTGCCCAAGCCTCTTTTTGTCTGAGGCAACCATGGTCCTGCTGTCACCGTTGTCAGATGCTTTCCGTGTGTCTGCGAGTTCCTGCGGAAGCGCCAGGTCACTAGTGCCATCGAGTCGCTGCAGGCGCAAGCCGTGCGCTTCACAGAGGCATTGCGAGATCGAACCTCGTCACCGTCGCCGCGCCGCTGTGCGGTGCAGTTCTGAGGCTAAGCCTGGCGCGGGTACCGCGCACCTTGCGGAGGAGAAGGCTCGGGCTCTCGGGCTCTGGAGAAAGGTTCGAGTGTAGAGGTTCCCACACACAGAGCTTCCCACTTAAGGCTGCGAAGATGCTCGGTGCAAAGGCCGCTGCATTGCAGGCAAAGCTCGCAGTGCCACGTGTTGTGTTTGGACAGGACATTCCTGCTGGAATGTGCAGTGATGAGCTCGAGATCAATGACTACCCGCAAATTGCGCGACAGAAGATCACGCATCGGGACTCTTTGGTTGACTAAGATGCTTGCCCACTTGCTAGAGAGGGGGTTTATGCAGCACGAACTTCTGCACAGATTGTGGAGGATCCGCTTGTCGCAATCGAAGAGATGACTGGTGCGAAAGTACAGGCTGGTGCTGTCGCGGATGTACTTTTGCCCTAACAGTGTTGCATGACCAGGTCAAGGGCCAACACTTCGCTTCGGCAGCACGAATGCCTGAAGGCTGTGATGTCGCCAGCATCGAAGTCTCAAGTTGATCCTAGGCTGCTGCACGGTCGTGCCAGGTGCGAAGAAGCTGTACGTTGAGATTATAGGCTGGCCTCGGAGGTTACAGTCGTTGATTACAGGCGACGTACTCCTTCAAACGACTTGCAAGTCAGGTCCGACACAGGTCTCCGTGGCGAAAGCCAAGCATGAAGTCTACAAGATGATGGAGGTCGCGCACTGAGAGTGAGAAGTCTCGTTGATCCGTTTCGAGTGCATAACAGCATGACGCACTGGAAGCACTGGCTTGGAGGCTCTGGCAATCAGAACCCTCAACATTCCTGGATTGACGCGTGCAGTGACGGGCGCTCCGGGAAGGCCACCGCAAGTTGCAGGTGCCGTGAGCGCTGGTACAACGTGGCTGTGGAGGTACGATCCGGTCGTCGGCAAGTAGAACTTCTGTGTAAGCGGACCCGACGAAGAGTCCACGACGAGCCAGCGGCAGCAAGAGTCTAAGAGACAGTCTGAGTCTCAATCGGAAGGGATTTTTGCGCCACCAGAAACGGGAGGAGCAGACGAGCAGACCGAAGTTGCTGCGACTGACGCCTGCTTTCCATTCTCACGATTCGCCCCACAGAAAAGTGATGGAATGTGGCAGAAGCTGGCTTGCTGGCTTTGCATCTGGAGTGCTTTGATTTCCATTTGTCCGAAGCGTCTGGTTCAAGCTCAACATCACTTACAGTCTGCAGGCTGGAGCTTTGTCTCTCTTGGTGGGTTCATGCTCGAGACAACCGAACACAGAATCGTTGAAAGATAATTGAAGGCCCGTGCATTTATTGTTAGGTGGTGCTTCTGGGCGATCTTTATGTAGTAGGCGCGCGATATTTCTCGCATGTTGTTTAACAGTTTAACATCTTCGCCCATCTTGATTAACTTGAATCCGGTTTATGTTGTGGATGATGTTGTTGTTTCGTAATCATCGCGGAGAGGGAAGGTAGCAGAATCTGGCGATGCATGTTCCAATTGCTTGCCAATGAAGGAGTTTTGTGCCGGAAGGTAGGGAGATAGTCAAAGGAATCATAGTTTTCGTACACGCACTGCGTGTTATGGTTACTCGTTCTCCGTCTCCATTTTTTGTTCAAAACGGGACACTGTGAGAGTGCACTTTTTGCATCTTTTACGTGCTCTCAAACACACAAAACACAGCCAGAAATCACAAATAGCCACATCGACGGATAGTACAACCCATGCAGACGCCGAAAAGAGAAATGCAAGAACTACGAAAAATACAAAAACACAAAAGAACTAAAAAACCAAAAGAACCAAAAAAAACAAAAACAATCAAAACTACCAAAAAAATCCAAAAAACAAAAAACCAAAAAGCTAAAACAAAACAAAAAAAAGAAAAAATAAAGAAACCAAAAAAACCAATGTTTCGAGACTTTGGCCTCATCCATATATATTTCTGAGAGTTCCTAAATATTGTTTTTGTTTGATTTTTTTGTTTTTTGTTTTTTTGATTTTTTTTTGGTTTTGCTACCTGCGCGCAGGGAATCTGCGTGTGGTCGTCCCTTCGTGCCAATCAAGAGGACTTC